CGTAAGGAACACTGATCTAGTTTTTTGACTGATTTATTCACCAGGACTTCTTTATTGTTGTACTTCCCTAAAAGGAATGTTATTGCTTTAGAGTAGTTTCCCTTAGTGACTTGGAATTTTCGGATGGGTAGTGGCGGTAGCTCCAGTGACTTAGGATGAGGTGTCCCTATCTGCGCAGGGCCATTGTTCAACGTATTTGCCGTATCTGCGCATGAGATGAGGGCTTGTTGCCGCGCCTGAATGAGCAGGACTAAGTTGAAGGCTTTGGATAACGCGGCTTCCGCTTTACTCGAGTAGGGTTCCATAATCCATAGATTTTTCCAACTTTTGAAGAAGCGAAATTCACCGCAAAAATGGCTTCTGCTAAGCGACTGATATTTTCCCTGACGACCTCACCTACTTCTTGAGAATTTAAGGGGATTTCTTCCAATTTTTCCTCCCGAAGGTTTATTACCACATAGTCGAGCTTATTGATCGATGTCGTGAGAAGACGCTTTCGGGTGCTCAATTGTGAAGACATGATATAGGAATTATAGTTTTTTGTTGAGCAGCTATAGATCAAAGAATCTTGAACCGCTATTCAGAAGGACAGAGGTATTGATATTGCGGAGCGGTGAGAGTTATCGATCGAGCGATGAGAGATAAATCACTTTTGTTCAGAAAACAGGTGCCGTTGGTACCAGAAAGATCAGAAAGGAACCGCTGTTCTGAAAAAGATGCGGTTGATATCAAAAAGATGAAAAGGCAACCGCTCTGTCACAAAAAAGGGTGCGGTTGGTACCACAGAATGAAAAGTAACTGTGCGTTTAGTTCTTGAACTGTTTTGACCGACCTGGTTCGATGTCCTCCGATGCACCAGTTGTAGATTCGTTTTGATGTGCCACGCGGGTTTCTTTATAACGTTTATTTAGATCAATGAAGACGTAGTTCGAGGTTATTGCACAGCGGAGGTCGGCTATTGAGTGAAGAGCAAATTATTGGAAGAGCAGGTTATTGGAAGGTTTATTGCGCGAAGATGATGTGTACAATCCGCCATGACTTTCTCGGCGTTCCTTTTATACGGTGGTTACCTTGGCGGCGGCATAA